CCCTCCTAAACGAGGTGCAGGATGGAGACATGACCTCCCCAGCACAGAGCAGAGGGGATAAGCTGCTGGCCCCACTCCAAACACAGCTCAGTTTTTGAAGGTTGGTTGGGGTTGTTTTCTTAATTTGCAGTGAGAGCATAGTGCCTGTGCCCAGCATCCCAGGGCAATGCCCATTTGGGCAGGGCTGCTGCTCACCCTGCCCATTCCCATGCCCTGGGTCACTGGGCTCCAGCTGCAGTCCTTGAAGGGGTTTCTGTTCATGAAGCACATGATGTCTGGTGGCCTGGTCCTCCAGCTGGTCAATGTCCCTCCTGGTTGAGGATTTGGCTTTTGACATGTCAGCTCCCAAGAGGACACTGTCCAGTACCTCCAGGGGACACAGCTGGGCTCAGCCCCTTGGCAGGGGCCCCCCCTGCCTCCAGCACCAGCTCAGCAGAGCAAGCTGCAGCCCTGGATGGCCCCAGCATGTCTCTGTAGAAATAACCCTCCAGTACAGTCCTGATGATTTTGACCACCGACATTTTGCATCTTTACACCTACCATATGCTTACAATTTAGGATTACCAAAGACAGTCCTGTTAAACCCATTTTCTAGTCTTCAAGAATCTGACTTCATGCACCTCAATTATTCCTCTGCCTGCTCTGTTGCTGCTTCAGCAGTTTCACGGAGGCGCAGCATCTACTGCAATGGTTAAAGTCCGTAAAAATAAATTTTTAAAAAGATGGGGAGTTTGCCTTAAGAATATACTGGTACAAGATGGTTTTAAGCAGGTCACTTGGCTTCTTTTACTACTACAATGCAAATCTGTGACTGGAACAGCTGTCAAGTTGTAAGTCTCATTTGACTTTCTGTGTAGGAGAGACTACTCCAAATATGGACAGGAAGCAGTGGGCAGCAACCACATGTACCAGCTGTCTGACAACTAGCATGCCAAACTCCATGCAGAACTATTCACTTTTTTACACATTGCCTTTGGGAGAATCGCTACCATCACTGGACCCAGATAGAAAGCATGGATGTACTTATCAAAATTATGGTTTCCAGAGGAGAAATGGCACAAGAACAGCAGAAATCCTGGTGATTTGTATTACGTCCAGACAAACCATATACTTGCTTTGGTCCTCCAAGCAACCTTGTATTTCACAAGATACTGCTACCTAAATAAAGTTGGTAAAGATCTGGCCAACCAGTGAACAAGTTTGTTCCCACTGTGAATCTCAGGCTAGCAAATGTCAGTCTGTAGAGAAGCTAGCACAGAAAGCTGAGATTTCTCCATGAAGCTGAGAAAAATCTAGAAGTTCTGGTAAAGTTCTTTTTATTTACAGTATTCTTCTTTTTGTACATACCTATAGCAACATCAAAAATTATTCACAAAGCTTAACTGTATGTAAAAACGTTCTCATCCAACAGTTCGTCCTATCAATATCTGTGGAAAATGTCAACTGTTCTCACGCAGCAACGAGATTGTCTGAGCATCATTTTTTAGTTTTTCTGGTAGAATTTTACCTCAAAACATGTACACAGATACTTCCTTGCCTTTTTTCTGAACACCTTTAGGCACCAAAGTTTTACAGAATCAAACTCAGATTTGCTTTTAGAAACACAAATTGGGGGAGAACAAGAAGAGATATGCAAGAACTTGAGCTCCTAAATGTACATAGCAGGAGTACAAATTTAGAAGCCAGACGCACCATGTACAGTTTTGCATTTACAATACTTGTCGCAGAACTTTTTTCTCAGTTCAAGAAAAAATATATTTGATTGAATTTTATAAATAAGACTTTGCTTCTGAGGTACTGATATTTATCAAGTTCCCACATATTTTTACTTTCCCTTTTGTTCAGCCCCCAAAGTCCATCATGAAAAATTTGCAGAAGGACATTAAGAAACTGCCAGTCACTTACTGCAATGCCTGGGGAAAAAAGTGTCAGGTGCTCACTTTTATTTGTCTTTCAAGAGTGGAAGAAGTTACATGAAACATGTATATTCTCCTTTGCAACCAAGTGATAACAGTTATCTGATACATAGCACATCCAAATTCCAGGTCAAACTGTGGTCACATTTTCTGACACAAGTAGTTACCTTGGAAAAAAGTAAGGCTATCACAACTTGACCTTCTGATTAGAAATAAAAGATGAAGATACTTATCAAAATTGGTTAGCAAAGTTACAGACCTCTCTTCTTGCTGCAGCCTTCCTGAAGTTCAGTGTAGCAAAAGAAAGATTTGGTTTAAGACATCGGCTGCAATCTTTAGTGTGCCTGTTAGTGCTGTGTAAATATAGTGTTTGGAGAGCCTAATAAAACTATGGTCTAAACTGAAATCAGAAAGCAGACACAGGAAGAAAGCAAGAACCTTGAACTGCATGAAGAAGAGCTCCTTGCTGCCCTCATTTGTTTCTATGCATATTTGACTGTGAAGCCACTGGGGTTCTAACATTCCAGCCTTACACAGGCATCTTCATTTGTACTTGTATGTTTTTCCTCCATGCTTACAGGCACAATTTCAGGAACCTATGCACAATCTAGGCTTCTGAATTCAGGAAAACCCCACCACTTACTAGCCAGGTACCCAAATCCATGCAGGTGTGTATATCTGCATATACACACAAAATCTGTAGCAACATTACTGAGCTAAAAAACCCCACCAAAACCCCAATTTTTCCATCCCTTCCCCAGCTTAATGCACCCAGCTGATCTTTTGTGGAAACAATTTGTAAGCCACTCAACTATATCTGGAGGTAAAGGATGCAAAACAAAAGCAACCCCTTAACTACTGCTTGCCAGCTCCTTCTGGTCTCTTGAAAGTGTAACTTCTGCAACATACCGTTTGCTCTACTGATGTTAGTGGTCAGCAAATACCTATCACCAGTGAAATAAGCTAATCCTTCAGCAATTATCTGAGAAAGTTCTTGGCTACTAAAGCGATAGCTTATGCCTGCTGATACTGCAGCCACCTGTTCCTTTCCAGAAAAGTCAACAGCCATGCAAACTCTGAAGTGTGAGCTTTTCTTCTAAAAACATAAAGAAACCCAAAACAATCCAGTTGACCCTTTCCATGGACTTGAGCGTGTCATCAGTACCACATGACCTTGTATGGTGGTAAAAAACTCTTGGACCTTGTCAGTACAGAATGTGCTGCCTATAATTTGGGGTCTACTGTCTCCCTCTATTTCACTCTTTAAAAAGGAAGTATAATGTAAGTTAAGCTGAAGTTCAGAAATGCATATATTTTACTTAAAAACATTCATCTGTTCAAAATTCAAAATAAACTTTATGGGATACAACAGTTTGGTTGGTTTTTTTTTTAAATAACATTTCATTCAAACTGTATATAATTCATTGAAGTATTCGTACAGCAAACAATAGTTAACCCTTGGAAACCTGTAGAAAAAGATTTTCACACAAAAAAAGGAAAAACAAAATTGAGGTATCACACCCACACACATTCACCCAAGCACACGCACACACTCGAGCACACCCGCACACATCCACACACGCAGGCTGCAGCAAAAGCAGAAAATTGTAGGCCCAAAAGGAAAATGATGACTGATTGTTCTATCCGAAAGTCCAGGTAGCTCAGGAAAAACACCCAAAAAACCAAAACAACCCCCCAGGAGTCCTCTGAGTAAAGAAACTACCTCAAGAAAATTCTCAAGTGCACTGGAGACCTGATCATTTAAACTGTTTCTGCAAAGCAGCTCCCTGCACCTGAGAAAAATGCAGCCCAAGGTGACTTGTGCAAATATAAGGAGTCAGGAATATTTCCTGCTATTCCTTAAGTATACATGAGGGGCGTCCATAGATTCAATTAGTCTTTGATCATGCAAGATACTGCTGGAGTGCTGTCTTCGCCCTGCAATAAAGGAACAACCTGTTAATTATTGGGGTTTGGCTTTGTCATCCACAGCTTTACGTACAAGACTATGCATTGTGCCAGCAAGCAAGGGAGGATGAATGAGGGAGGTCAGAGGAAGCCGAGTGGCTGACTGCTTCAGTTTGGAGGAACCTAGTCCATGGTGCAGAAGTGCTCTGCACAGGCTGTAACAATTTAAGAATCCATCTTGCATCTAAGAATAAGATGATCTAACCAACTATCTTAGATGCTCAGCACAAACTGAGCAACTTGCAAGTATGGTGGGGCTTAAGATGTATATTGAACCTCATGATCAACGCACCTTATAAAAAAACCTTAAGAGCAATAATTGTGAAGAGCCGTGACTATTCTGTAATACTGAAATACCATGAAAAACAGGTCTTTAAGCTGAGAAATGAAACAGGTGTTGTAACTCAGAACATACTAGAAGTCTGTTAGTCCTGTCAGGAATACCAGCCCTACCAAAAACATACAATGAAGTGACAGGAAGAAAAGAAGCAGCCACCAGCATAATCCTGGAATTTATGTAATCTATCATTGTGCAAGGTTTTTGTTAAGAAAAAAAACCAGCTCTCAAGAGTCTAGGGTTACAGTTTCATCATCGTTTCAGCTAATTCAGTGTTTCCTACCACCCAAAGTGAGAAGTTTCGTTTTTCCTTTGTCCCCCACACCTCCCAATCATGTTATCATGACCTTGACAGACTTTTCCAAGACTCGATACAACTCAGAAATGCAGAGGAAGACTTTTTTTTTCCTTTCAAGTTTCCTGCAAGTTTTGTGGGGAGTTTTTCTATAATAAATCATTTAAAAAAAAAAAAAAAGTAGTTTTTAAATAAAAAGCAAAGATTTCCCTCTAATCTTCTTTTTGGGGTTTTCCTTATACTCACTTGTCACACAAATTTGGATCCGATGACTGACTCAATTTATGTAGAATATCTACTATTCCCATGTCTCGTAGTTTATCTTGGCGTTCTTGTGAACCTACAACAATAAACCACATCGTTGGGAACACCACCATAAATAAATGTCTGCAGACAAAATAAAGGAGTGGTAGCAGAAACCAGCTGAAAGGAGGGGTATGGAACACAGTTCAGCAAGAATACTACTCCCCAAGGGAGCTCTAGTTTCTTTTTTTTTGCACTCTGTGCATGCGTTTAAAGAAAATAAAATTTTAAAGGCAAAAATCTGAACACATTTTATCCTAAAGTAAGAAGCTTGACTTCAGTTAGCTTATTCTCATCTCTCTGATGTGGATGCAGAGAACATTTAACTGGAGATGCGTTTCTGAGTCTGACGTGTAGCACTGTATAATGCCAGTACAATGAACAGAAAGCCACCAGAAGCATAGCCAACTATCACACACTGAATGAAATTCTGTGATCTGAGATATGTGGCATAAGTTACCCAGCAGGGAAAAAAGCCAAAACCAAGTAGAAACACTGTTTTCTTAGCTGAAGAGCAGCATGGGCAACTTGAGAGTCTGTAAATAATCGATCTAAGAAACCCCTTCTCCCAGCCCCACCATTCCTCAAAGCATACCGCCTCCCACCACTCCTTCCCTTGCCATTTATTCCAGCTCCACACTGCTGCCTCCACTTGCCCTCTCCACCCCTCACAACACAAACACACACATTTTTCTGTGCAGCAGCATCCTTCGGCTCCCTCCTGGTTACCTTCCATTGTTTCACGCCATGACCCTTCTTACGGAATTACCTTCCCCATTCCTTCCAGTTCCACCCACAAGTCCTTTGACTAGTTTCAGTCTCACTGCATAACCCACTCAAGCCATCCATGCTGGGGAAAATTTCTTTGCCATAAATCCCCTTTCTAATCCATTTATCCTCTCCAGTAAACTTGTTCCCTCCAACAATGAGTTTCCATGACCTCCTTAAGACTTGGAAGCTCTCTTACTAGGATGCTGTTCCCCTCTGACTGTTTTCAGATTTTACAGAAAAGCTACAGGTGGAAACCTCCCACTACGTGACTCTCATCAACTTCTATTTATTGACACACTCTTCTTGTGCCTCCTCTTCCTGCACCAGAACAGCCCTCCACAGTCTCCTCAATGTTCTCCTGACCACTCTCACTTATTCCATATTACACCTATAATGATGTCTCCCTTTATGCTTTGGATCCCACTATGCTGTGCACTGCAAATATTGATTACTGTGCAACATCAGCCTTTTGATCAGGATAGTAACTTGTATCCCCATTATTAACAAGGCTTTCTTACCTTCTTCTTCATTCCATATAAGATTAGATATACAGAACATGGCAGCAAGCTGAAGTTTAGCATTTGAATGACTCTACAGAAAAATAGTACTCAAGTTTAGAAGAAGAAATTCAGAAATTCTCACACATATTTTAGCATTCATCCTGTAATAAATAAGGTAGAAAAGTTGGGACTAATTCTTATCTACAACTTCTCTCAAAGATAGTGCCATGACATAAGGCACTTATGTCCAACCACTTCCTTCCAAATATATATTGAGGTCTGCAAGATACTCCTTTTCCAAGACCATTAAATATTTTCCATGCAGATTTGTTACAGGTATTGCTTAAGTCGCTTGAACTTTCTTATAGGAAACAACTACTGGATTTTCCTTTAAATCAGATCCTTAGTACCTCTCTGCCATATAGAGCTGCACTATGTGATTTTTTTTTTTTTTTAAACACAACTGGGTATATAAAAGTTAAGTGCATGATGCTGAATAATTTACAAGACAAAACGCTGAAGTACCCTCTTTTCATTCCTGCAAAAGATCAACACATAACCTTTAAGATAAATTCCTCATACCATATAGTATTTGATTTTCTGCAGGATGTCATCATTGGTCATAATCAGTTCTTTTGCCGTCGTTCCGTCTGCTATATTGGCAAGTATACACAACGTCTGAAAGAGAAAAACTGTTATTTGGCCACAGATCACATCTCATGATTTATACAGTTTCCCTGACAGCTCTGAACTTGTGACAAACAATTTCTTTAATTAGTTTTAATATCTTTAATCTGGAGTTTCCAGCTTGTTTATGTCTGGGTCCAGTGCCAAAGAATTAACAGCTGTGGCTGAACAGCCTGGGCAAAAACACCAGTCATTGCCATTTGAAAATAAAAAGCAACATCCATTAAGTCATTTCAATGAGTAAAATTTTAAGTCTCTCATGGAAATATGCAGCACATAAAAAAGATTAAACATATTGGAAAATAAAGCAGTCTACTCTTTATCAGTGGCAAGGGAAAAAAAACCCACATCCATCTAATTCTGCAGGCCAAGAAAAAGAAAGACAGAGATCTATCTGCTGATCTAGCACACTAATAACTTTTTCAATAAATCTAATCACACATCTTATCTGCAGGGATAATGCAAACTATTAATGCATCTGGTTATTTCCTGCAAATTAGAGAAGCCATCCTACAGGATAACCTTGAAGCAACTAGGCCCATATTGGCACTACATGCACACAGCATTAAGACTTGCTGAGGCAGCTTTCCTGGTCCTCAGGAGGCACTGTGAGATGCTCTACAACTTCTTTCCCAAAAAGCTGCGGAAGAACTCAACCATCTTTTCTGGACATTCAGGGATGACTACAGGAGGACACTGGAGAACGATCAGCACCTGCATGATGCCTGTGTCTAAGCTGCACTGCATTCATGTCAGCAGTTCCAGAGATTTATTACTTCCAAGGTGCTAATTAGATACTGATGAGCCAGTCAGTGATAGAGATAAGCACTGTCCTGCTAGAAGTATGGACTCTTGTGTGCGGACAGGCAGTACTGCATGTATGACTTGATTCTGAAATAAAAACAAGCTGCTGATCACACCACAGGGACAAAGAAAATGCTCTGTCTACTAAGACCTCAAACCCTACAGGTTATCTTCAACCCTAGTCTACTAGCCCTTTCCAAGAGTATTTCTCAGGTACACTGATTCTCCTCCAAAATAACTGAGAGGCTTGACAAGGTAAACAACCACCCATTGCAATGAAGGCCATTCCTGTCACTAGTGCTTTATCAGGAAGATCTATTTAGAAAAACACAACTGGTTAATCCTCAGCTGTTTCAGAACCATGGTATCCCTAAATAAACTTGCTATCTATTAAAAGTCTTTTGGGTTTTTTTTGCCAATTTTGCACTTAAATAGCCATAAAAGGCCTGTTAGCCTTCAGCTCACTCTTCACTGAGCAGAGATTTAGACCAGTCTGGATTTAGCTGTGTTTTCACACTCATTTGCCTTGCTGTTTGCTACCAATATCCATCCTAAGCCAAAGCAATCCTCTGGTATCTCCCACAGCTTCTTGCTGCCCCTGTTCTTCATCACCACATGCCCTGTATGAGGAAGGGTTTTCCAATTGACTGTCTTGTCTGTCACAAGAGTTAATCAGCCAAATGCTGCCCATCTATCCTCTTCTGCTTTAGCATCCCTGCAGCAAGTATCCCTGCACGCTGGCTCCCCTATGCTGCCATCGAGTCAGGGATGCTCCTTCCCTACTGGCCATCTTCTCTTTCCTTCTCCTCTTGCATATTGCTTAAGTTTTAATTTGTCAGGGCATGTCTCTCCTTACTTTTTTCTGGGCTACACCAGTATGTTCTCTTCCCTGCTAGTGCTTCTCCTCCTCTAATTGCTGTTGGCTCCTGCAGGCACCCAAGAACAGCTGAGTTACGACATCTCCTAGCAGAACATGTATAACTGCCAGCAAGGCAGGCGATGATGCCATTCTTCATTACTGACTGCTCCAATAGCTGCCATAGGAGCAAACAACCATGATGCTTTCCCAAAGGCTTCATTCTCTTCCCTTGTTCCTACTGACCCCTTTCTGCCATACACTTGCCTTAAAACATAATTCTTCTGCTCTCACATACAATACACTCCTCTTTACCAAACCCACATTTAAAAAAGCATTCTGAATTCAATTCAAACACCTTCGTAATAATCCATTAGAAGGAAGAACATTATTGTAGGTACTGAAGTTATTAACCTGACAGATCTCAGTAAAATATCCATAGCACATCATCATCCCAAACAGAAATGACATGTTGAGAAGAGTAAGCATTCTTAGCTTTCCTCACATTTTATTCTGCCGAGATAACATGAAACAAAAAAGGGTACCTGCTCTTTGACTTCTATATTGTGCTCTCCTTCCAGAATGAGGGTCACTGCTTGCATGATTTGCTTCCCATGAGTGCTCATTATATGGTCTATGTGCTGACAAAGCAATGATGAAATACAATCAGCGTAACTTTCCAGACAAAGAAGGGCCATTTCTACTTGTATTACTCTAAGCAAAGAGTAGCAACATCACACCAAGACCCTAGCTCCTAGTGAGGTCTCCCAAAACCAAGAACTTATCACAGCAGAAACACTTCATAATACTCCTCTTCATTTGAAGCCTGGTCTTGTTTGACAGAGCAAGATATAGGCCTTGGTTCTGATTTCAGTGTAACCTGTAGAAAAGACACTGGTTTTCCAGTTGCACGGAAGCTAGTCTGAAGACTGAATCCTGTTGGACCCAAGATCTAAGCATGATGCTGCAGTTAGAAAGAACCACTTCTCTTCTGATATCGGGGAATTATCAGAGAGGTGTAAGAAAATTGAGGTTTCTTATCTGGTTTTTGCTACTCTTACTGGAGCACTGACCAGGTCCAATATCCACATTTCAAAAGTCTGACAGCGTTGAGAGAAATAAGCCATATACATTACTTATCGTCTAGGAAAACTAGTTAAGAGACCTAGAGGTAAAAGGTCAGTTGATCACAGACTATAAACACCTATCCTGGAATAAACCCGATTATTAGGAGCAAGCGAAAAAGATAAAACTAGATCTACTGGATTAACTGATACCAAAACTCAAGAGTGACAGCAAACAGCCACCAGAGATTACCAGCACATGGCACACTACAATTTTTTAAGATGTTAGGGATTCTTGTAGGACTTCTTAAAATTGCCAGTAACGAGACTTCATTTGAAAGCTGCTGGATGAGTTATTCTGGAGTGAGTTTTGGGTAGAGAATGAGAATGGTTGGTTCTGGCTCTAAAACATACTACAGAAAGTAGGTGAAGCTGGGAAATAGTTTCAGATGAAGAACACCTTAAGTGATAATGAGACTCTGCTGTCAAGAGCTCAGGGTAAATTTAACAAATGACTGGTTCTTAACTATCTTTTCACATTCAGACAGAGCTAATTTTCTATGAAGCTTATTGAGACTCAATGAGTACAAATATCAGAAGATTTTTTGCAGTGACCTTTTTACGGTAGAAACACAATACGTGATAAATGCACAGTAGAGGCTTCGTGGTTTTTTTCCCCCACAAAAATGTTGGCTTGCCAAATGTTTGCTGCATGTTTTCCCTCTGTTCTTCACAGGGGATTACCCCTTTCTTTTCCTCCACCAATATCTCTTTCTCCCTGTCAAAAACAATTCATGGGCTTACATTTTCAAAACATTTTATTTCAGCGTGTAAAATGAATGTATGCATTTTGTCAGTGCACAGTCCCACAGTCAAATTCAAAAAGCCAGTACTATCTATATAGTTGGATAAGAACAGAAATATTTCAGGTGTCAAAAAAGAAGAAACACAGGTATCCTTAAGATATGTACCTCTCCACACATTAACTCAACAGTGCAACCCTCTTATTGTTGTTCTGGGTAAGTTTCACCGAAAGACTTTTAGGAAAATAATTTTGCTGAAAGCTAAATGCAATTAAATTGAACATTACATGTAACTGTTTAGGCTCTGTATTTGGTAGGAATTACAAAGTTTCCGTGGATGTAGAGAATTCATTCGAACGTCTTCTTACACAGATTTGTACATTTGTTTACAGATACTTGGATAAATCCAAAGGCCTCAGTTTTAGCAACATATCAAACATTAATCTTAAACAGAAAAATAACATGTCTTACAAAAAAGATAAAGAATTAATTTGTATTGTCTGCACATTTGCTCAGCTTTCAGAAGACGGTCTGTTTGCAGTTCTACTTACTGGGCGAGTAGACAGAAGATTCCTGAGCAGTCCCAAAGTTTTCATCAGAACATTTACATCAGAATCAGAAAGCAACTGGAATAACTGCTCTGTGCTCAGACCTCGTAAGATGTCTGATTTGATCTTCTGTTCCGCTTGAAATGCCATATTCTGAAGAGACAGAATTTTTTTGCTTGATTTTTTTTTAAATCTTAAACTTGAGCTTTCACTCTTTCAGTAGACTATTACCTGCAAGCATATATCCTTGCTAAAATTAATCTTGTGAAGGTTATCACTTATGAGGAACTGCTACACAGTGAATTAAATTTCCACACAGTCTTATGGCTGACCTGGTTATTACCCGCTTTTATTAGTCCTCTGGCATGCTACTGACACTATTTAACTGTTTCCCTGAATGATCCTGGCAACCAAACTGGTTTAAGAACTGAAGAGTTTATTTTATTTAAGGGACTAATTGATGAAGTTTTCCAGGCTGATACTGTTTTCCTTCTGTAGTTAAGTGGAAAGACAAGCCAGACTTCAGCTATATTATTTTTAATAATGACTGATGAGCTCTTTAAGTTACATTCACGAACTTTTTAAGAAGCAAAATCATAAGCGGTATTTCATCAGTGTGTTCTACTTACCATTAAAGCCCAAATACCGTTCACTCGCAAGGCAAGATTTTCACTCTGTGTTAAACTACATAGAAGTTCTATGGCTCCTGATTCTAAAATAGGCTAAATGTGCTTTGAGTTTCCAATAAAGGGGAAAAAAAAAAAAAAAATCTTTAAAACACTACTTCAACTAATTAGATATATATACCAACGTAAATACAATATTAAAAAATTTGTGCTTATGTCTTATTTTTGAGTTTACAAGATGTTCAGCCCACTCACGCGAACTGGCCAAGACATAACCTATATTCATGAGCATTAAAAGGTAGGGTTTTTTATGAAAACACCCAGGTCAAGACAACTTTATTCTTGTGTGTATCCATGTACATGTACACATGTATATTCACAGCCATCCACATGTGTGTGCATGTGTATATATGCACCTACTCACATACTGCTGTGATATTACACACACACATCTGCCACACTCACAAAAGCAAATAGGTTTTCCCCAACAACTTTCAGCTTGGCACTGCTCTCCAAAAACAGTCTTCCTTGAGCAATCACATTTTTTTGTGTATCAAGTGGGATGTATATGACTGTCTAAAAGAGGTTAAGGACAACAAAAGCTACTTGATTTTCATTACATTTAATCTTTTTGTTTAGTAAATCAGACCAAACTAAAATCCAACAGAAACACTTTAGCATAATAAAGAAAACTGGAGACTGTTCTTGATGATCAGATTGAAATGCAAAACCTCATAGTATCACATCTTTAAATGACAGGAAAAATATCAATACACACACCTTTTCTTTCAAACTGATTAATGTAATGAAAGTTAAGTATGGAACAACTGCTTTCAACCTGAACCAAATTAGAAATACTAGTTTTATCTGTGACCTGAAGAGCTCATGTGCTAAAAGGATTCATCCAATGACCTATGCTGCTCTATTTTGTAGAGTGTTCCTGAATTCCAGAAGTTACTGCTTCAAAAGCAGTGAATAACTGAACATACCTGAGTTTTTAGGAAGTTGTGGTTTTTAACCTGCTTAAGAGCAGCTGAATTTATCAGAAAACATAAATATGTAGAAAAGGCTGCACTTTGTAGGAAAAAGCTCATCTCAATGAATAGCAGTGAGACAGTAACAGAACCAGGCAGCAGCAGTTTGTGCCAAAGTTCACCTGGTCCCGGGTGCCTTGCACTGCAATAAGCTGTCAATGATTTCACCACAGGCCAAGTAGCTGGCTGGCTCCTAGGGACTTCTCCAAAGCCACAACAGGTGGAAGACATTTCAAAATTTGTTTTAACTCAGGTCTTTTACAGGGTAAAATACAGATCCACCTCAGCTTTGTTTACTTCCTTCAGTGGCTGGTAGTTTACATACAATTTTCAAAATACAACGTGGAAAATAAAGGTGATACAGCAAATAAAGATCAGATGGCTTACAGATGCTTTCAAATCTAGCATTTCTAAATATTCCTTCACTTTGCATAAGCAGTATTTTCTTTCAGCAATGATGTTTTTTACATGAAGCACGTGTCCTGACAGAAAATTCAGTATTTCAGTCCTATTTGAAATAGACTCAGGGCTGTGACCCCCGGGCCAGTGAACTGTGCTTGGCATTATTTCAGTTAATTTTGTGTCTCACAGACATGGCTGAAACCACCAAGATCAATCGATCAAACCAAGGTAATCCAAAGTGCCCTGCAGGAGCCCACTTACACCACAACCTTGCAAATGTTTTCCGTAATTAATAAATATTTAAGACTTGGGAAGCTGTTGATTTGCATTGAAGTATTGATAGGTATGTATGATCTGTATGAAATACACACACTGCAGAACTCAAGAGTAGATATCCTGTATCGTTCATTCAAGAACAATAGAAAACACAAAACTCAGCTATGCCAGTATTTTCAAGATTACAGCAGTCATTCTTTAAGACAATGGATCATACTGACAATTATCAGTTTTTCTTTTGCCTACGAATTTTTTAGATAAGTGTTTTACTAGTAAAACACTCCAAAACGTCATGTCTACTTTTTTCTTTAGAGACTACATTTAATTATTTAATCTTATCTAACTGTCACAGCACTGTAAACAGATGATTTTTTTTTTTTTTATTCACAAGCTATCAAGATACAAAACTGTATCAGTCTGCCTAACGTTACATCTCTATAACGCTTCACAAGCGGTGGCTACCAATTAAAATACATTTACGCTTATAGAACCATTGTATAATGCAGCTTTTGTCTATTACCTCTTCTTGTTTCTGGATAAGTACTAACCTCCTTGCTTGGAGAGAATTCCAGAAGAAGATTGCATAGTGTGGAAGATGCTACTACAAGAATTTCATTTGGAGCATTCTGTAAAACCTGCAGTGACAAAAGGGAGAGTGAAGAATCTCTGTTAACTAGTAGTATAAGGAAGGAATAATTTTGAAATGGAATACCTGTAATCATGCTGCACTTTGATATCCCCTACTTTAGGAGATCCAGACAGTGCTCCTTCAACTCAGTGTGACACACATTACATGACAAGCTGGTGCAACGCAAAGTTGTTTCACAGAAGCCAGATTTGAGAGCTTTCAGGTCCAATTTAAAAGAAATCAGTGGGAACAGATTTGTGCTCTGCAAAGCACACGTGCTGGCAGTTGTAATTTACCTCTGCAGCCATTCCCTCAACAGAGAGCAGGCTGTGTCCTGCAGTGCACCTCTGGGTGACGCTTCAGAAAAGCAGAGGAAGCTCCAGGAGGAGCCTCCTCAACTTCTGTACCTCATGCAAAGCAAAACACAGCAAATTTCCTCATGAGCATCCTTTCAGAAAAGCAGATAGCCTGGAACAAGTAATACTCTCTCTCATCTGTGTCTGGATCTCCAGCGGGACCAATACATGCCACTCTTAAATACAGCATCTCCCTTGCATGTTCTGAGAAAACTCAGTGAGGAAATAGACATGGAGGATACAACTGCTTCTCCAGCAAAGAAAGTGAGAATGGAGTGGTTCTGTACCACCTTTTGTTTCAGAGCAGTGGGCAAACTGCAAACAATTATTTCATTTTCAGCAGCTTGCACTAAAGTACTATCTGTAAGTCCCACAGTTTTAGGCATGATTCCTCCATGGCTTATACAGCTATACATGCTAGGGGAGAGAGAAAGGACTTAGGTAGTTGTTATTCATCTAGACTGAAAAGTAATTTATCTTTATTTACTATTACTTTTACTTTTCTATTAAGAATAATTCTTGATGTTTTGGAATGAACATGTAAGTTTCTGACTTCAGTTTGTTTAATACAAAACCAAATGAACAACTGCCAGCAGCTGCATTTACACAGAAGCCCAACATCTACATTTCTTTTTTTTTACATGGCTCTCCTTTTATGCTAGTTGTGCTTCTTCAAGCAAACCTAGCCTTTTTGTGTCTTACATCTATAAAGGTTTAATGTTTTAATGTTTGGCCTTTTGCAAACTCTTAAAATACTCAAACCATTCCCTCCAAGCTCCTTCAGGCAATGATCATGAGTTCTGAATCATGGGATTATTACGCTATAGCAACAGCACACAACGTGCATGATCAAATCTCCCTTGACCTCCCAAGAAGACTAACGAACTAGACATCTATGGAGTAGTATCAGAACTCACACACCCAATACAAGGATGAATGCTTAACTTGTAGTAAGTGTATTGTGTTTACTGTCAGAAAATAATTTCTCCAACATTTCTATCATGAGACTGTAGAAAAAAGTAGGCCCATACTTTAGGGCCTCCAATTCGTGCAAGCAACACAAAAGGCTGAGAAAGTTTCTTGGACTGCAGCCAACAAGATGGCCAGAGAGTGTAATACAACTAGTGAATCAAGTTTTCTTAAGTCTGTAACTTGTGATAACTAAAACATAAGCAGAACAGAGAAAGTCAGGCCTGAATAAAATGTCACTGAATAGTATGTCCTACAGGCATCTTTCTTGTATTGAAGTATCACTAGAAACAACTGAAGGATCTCCTGATCCTTTACTTCCTTCCAGGCTCAAGTGAAACTTTGGACAGTCAGCTTGCATAACTGCCTTGTTATCAACCTCATCAGTTCATTTTTGCCAACGACATGTTCTCGTCTGGCTATTTTACTCCTGAATAGAGTCAAGCTCACTTCAGGTGACTCTCTTGGATGTCAATACTGCCCAAGCTTTCAGGCTGCTTGCTAGCAGACTTTGTCTGTTCCCCATTTTCAAGGTCTAAAAGATTTTGAAGCTGAGAAACTGGTTTATTTATCAGTACTTAATGACAGTCACATTACAGGATGGGAGTTGATATGTACCTTACACATTTTGATCTCATTTGATCTTGTGGATAATTGTATTATATTAAGGTGTCTTTTTAAAGGCCTTGCTGAGCTCTTTGGCTTCAGTTTTAGAATCTGCAAGGAGATCTAGAAGGTAGAGAATTACAGGGGAAAACGCAGATCTGAATTCTCTTATAGGGCTTATAGACCACGTCTGAACTTTGCCATCTAGTCTGAGCCTGAAATTAAAGGAGACAGAGTCCTCCTAGTGCCCTATGTAAACATCAGGGATAACTTAGGTTTACTCACTGATCACTCAAAAAACAAAACAAAAACAAAACAACACAAACAAAAGAACCAACCAAAAATCATCCCCCTCTGTTGCTGCTTGGCTTTTGTTGATTTACAACTCTTGGAAGGTGGTCATGGAATTTTGATTGCTATGTAACTTCTGTTATGATTCTACAGAAAGGCATGCAAATTGAACAGACACCATATCCTCCTTTAATGGAGCAGAACACTCTAGTAGTTGAGACTTGACTTTTCTTTACTTACCTTCATTAATGGTTTCCATACAGCATGATCCTGAAAGCTTGTCCTGAGCTGCTGTACAGAACGGGACAAACTGTGCAAACATCTACAACGGAAAAGAAATGTTCACTGTGAAACATACACACTCACATGTACACTACTGTGATATATACACTGCTTCTACGCAAGGATTCAGCTTAGAAGTTGGTAAAAGTAGGAGACTGTAAACAGCAAAAAGAAAATATTGTACTAGTCCAGGATAGCTCCCCCCCATCCCCCAATAAAATTTTCCAACAGCAGAAATTACTTCAGATTAGCTTTTGAAAAATTAGCAGAAATTCTAACAAGCACAGCACCAGACTTCAACAAGACAAAAGCATTTGTATCAATCTGAAAAGCCTCCTACCTGACTGCAGCTAATCGCACCTTGATACTGGATTCAGACAAGCCATTAACAATACGGTCCATCATATTTTCAGTCTCAATGATCTGGAGCAAAAAGGAATTAACATTATATGAATAAAATAACATTAACATTTATGGGCTGTTGGTTTTCTGTCTGCAACATTTTAAACACTGCATATAAAAACTGTAGCTAAAAACAGCAAGCCACATTCTCTTCCCAGATTAAGTGGAAAGTAGTGTGTACCTGCACATGATTTAGAAAAGAAAAATCTACATTCTATGCTCCCCTACTGCTTTCAAATTTATTTTATTCATCATGAAGAAACAAGAGGGGATTTTATATATATATTAAAATATATTATATATATGTATATATATGAATTACGCTTAATATCATCTTAAAACAAAAGAGAGCATGTGTGAGTGCACACAACATATACAAACTACAGATGAGAGATGTGTTGTAAAGCTATCTGAAAAAAAATACATAGTAGTTCATCTGCCATATTTAGACATCGCCAGGACAAGCACTTAAGACTAGGATAAAAGTGAGTTAATACCAAGAAGAAAGATGACTTTTGTATAATAAATCAACTTTGTCATGTACACACCCACCACTTACTAAAAACATGACTTTGATAGGTAAAAGAAGGATCCTTACTATTAACTAAAAAAGTCCATCCTGCAACAAAAAAGCAGTTTATGGGTTTGAATTCTGGAGATCTTAAACAGTGCCCAACTGATAAATCTTCCTGCTAGTTACCTCTGCAACACTGTGGTTTTACTCCCTCCTTCCTGTCCATATCTTTCTCACTTCTGTTTTTCCCCATTAACCAGCAAATAAACTCAGAAAACTCTCCTGCCTCCTGTACTTGCCAGGTTTGACAGAGCAACTCCATGTTTAATTTAAAAAAATGCTGCTTTTAATCATTCATTGTTTAATTTCCCTCCATTTTCACACACAAATTTTTAACTAAATGGGTGCTCCAATAATCCAATCTCTTTCCTGTGAAGTTTGAACACAGTTTATTCTCCTTTCACCAACTGCTTTGTTAGGACAGTGCAAGCCCCCTTGGTCACTTCAGAATCATGGAACAAATTTTGACTTTATTTCCCAATACAATTAGATTTTCCAGTGTTTCTTTTTGAAAAACACATTCGTTTTATAATAGGATACACGACAACAGAGGTATATTCTGTCCCTCAGAACAGAGCTTTCAGAAATTACTCATATGTCACAATAATATTCCTGCACAGTTTATGAGAAGTAAGGACCACAACATGTTGAAAGACAACTTATTGTGAGAATCTAGTTCATCACTGTGAAGATGTTTACATAAACAAACTTTTATATTTTGCCAAGGCAAGACATTAATTTTCGTACAAATCCCACACAAAGAACGTGCAATCTGAAAGTTTATATTAACGTAACAGAAAGACAGCCTTCTCATTTCAACCTATTTAATTCACAATCAAAAACTGAAGGGCTGGAAGGGTGCAAATTCTTGCACTGCCTTTCAGCTACAATTTTGCCTGATTGCTAACATTTTCCACCTCACCTTTTTTCGGATATCTTCATCATTTGCTCCCAGGGAAGCATAGAGCTTGAAAGCAGCCTGGCGCAGTTCATGGGCATGCTTCAAATCATGGTCAAGCTATTTAAATAAAGTACAGAAAGCAAATTGAGATATTAAAAAATTACAGGTGTAATGCTCTCATTTGTTGTAAACGAGTGCTTATCTACTGGGATTTTGTCTACCACACCGAGGGCAGCCAGCAACACAAATGAACTGCTGTTCCATTAGCTAATTTACCAACTGAATACAACAACTGAAGTTAAGAACATGGTTAATTTCTCTAGTGAGTTACAGATATGTCAACTTAAGCAATTTGAGGCCAAAACACTTCTATAAAGTTACAATTCTAATCAGACCATATTCAGACGAAAACTATTTTTATTTACCCAACAGAAACAAGCCAGGAGAAGTCAAAAAACTGGGAGAGAATCAATGTAAGTTTTACCAAGAGAACTGAAGCAACCAAAGCTTTCTCTAAATCACAGGACCTCCAACTTAAGGTGGCACTAACTTCCAACTTCTGCTGTAAAGGTAACACAGCAGTGTGCAAGCTGTCTGGGAGGCTCCTGGAAGGTAACTTCTCCACACAGGTGCTAGAGGGGTGAATTAGGGTGATGCACCACTGGACAGGCTGCTCACAAATCAGGAGAAACTGCCTGGGGGTATGAAATTAATGGGAGCACTACCTATAGGGATCATAAAATAGTGATGTTCAAGTTCCTGAGAGACACAAGAAAGGCACAGAGTGGAGTACACAGCCTTGACTTCAGGAGAGCAGACCTGGAGGAGCAGATGAGGTGTACACTGGCTTGTTCAGCCACAAGAAGAGAAGGCTGAGCAGAGACCTAACAGCAGTTCTCCAATACCTACAAGGAGAACATGGAGCCAGACTCTTTATGAAGGTGCAGAGCAAGAGAAGGAGACAATAGTCAAACTGAAACAGGAGAGGTTCTTACTGAATATAAGAAAGAAAGAAAATTCACTATTAGAACAGTCAAACTTCAGAACAGATTGCTCAGAGACCTTGTTTAATCTACATTCTTGGCAGTTTTCAAGACCCAGTGGGACAAAGCCTTAAGCAAACTCATCTAAGCTCAACACTGACCCTGCTTTGAACAGAAAATTAAGACTTTCAGACCCTCTCATGTTCTTTCCAATGAATTTCCAAGAATGGTTCTATGATTCTGACTGCCCTCAAAACTCTGTGCCAAAGCGTTCCACAAAACAATGCAATATTTAAAGTCTATACAAAATGCCAGAAAAAGCATGGTATTAAGCAGCAAAGCACTGAAATAAGAGAACTGTCAAAAATTAATCTGTATGAATAATTCTCTGGTGCAGCTGTATTAGAGCCAAATGTATTATATCATTGTTAAACATATTTAAAATAGACAACTAATCTGTTCGTCAGAGTCTTTGCTCACGTAGTTGTTACCTCATAGGGTGTAATCGAAAGCATTCTTTACAAAGCACGCACCCTGGCTTCCCAGTTGACTGTTTTTACAGACTTTCTGAACACTCAAAGCTATGTCATAATATTTATGATTGTCCCACTCACATTTGGAGCCTAATCAAATTTTTGATGCTACAGCCAACACCTATTACTCCCCAATCAGCTGCTAAACTTCCTTCTGCTTATTTAATTTTATACTGCAACTAATATTTTTATATCTCATTTGTATTTTTATATAGAATTCAAGGCAGTTCTATATGCAGAATCAATCCCATTCTATAAAAGTCTGAGAAGTGAGTCTACCTCTTGGGCTACTTTCAGAGAAAAAACAAGGCCCTGTAATCTTTTTGATTACTTCCTAAAAATCAGACTCAGTAAGAGGGGAAGGGAATAGAGATGTTTCTCTATGTGGAATAACAAAAACCATCTGGCTTCTGAGGCTGATTGATCCACTAGTGCTTTGACTGACCCACTAGTGCTTTGGAAAGTGTATGCAAATCTGTAAAAATGTTCACATTCATCTCCTAGTACAACACCTATGAAACTAAATCTCTGAGGTATGTCTGATATCTGTTTATCCAACCTCTTGCAAGTGCAGATAACTCATAATACAAAATGCTAAATGACATCAACGTGTTTTTCTGCTTTAACAGAATAAAACCATCTCTGAACTTAACATTTTTCACAAACCTGACCCAAGAACTGAAATTGATCTCTCATCACATGGACTATTATCTCTTATGAAGCTGAAATGTACTGGTTCCTGAAGGTAAGCCTTTTGAACTCTGCGAAGGAGAAACATGACAGCTGCCTCAGCCTGGTACTTCATTGCTATCTCTGGAAAATGTAATGGAACTCATTCGCTGAAGCGCTATGACAACTACTCATAGCCCATCTCTCTATCTTTGACATAGAAGAATGGCAGATTCCAGATATATACAACAGTTTTAGTTTGGATAATACAGGATCCAGGAAAAGCACTGAGCAAAAACTTGAAGACTATATGCATCAGGAATGAAGTCCTACTGGACCTCTGGTCACCTTTCTATTTATTGAGGAACTCGGACATAAGGTTTAAACAGAATAAAAAAAATATCCTGAACCCATTTATAATTGTTTCTGCACATTTTTCAAAGCTTCTGAACTAGAAGGAAACATACCCTCTTGATATCAGTGATTGCACTCACTGAGCTGGGATATTTGAAGTAGTCAGCAAGCATGACAATGAGGTGGTCAGTAATGCTGGCAATTCTCTGGAGCTCCACATCTGTTTCAATCAAATAGGCCAGTGTTTCTGCTCCTTCTACTCGCTCCTCCAGCAGTCTTTCCTTACTACACATTCGAACCAAACATGGCAGAGTCTGAAAAGGTAAAAATAAAATAAAATTTTAAAATCCCCATTGTTTAGTGCAGCTACATTCATAAAGAAGTTCACAAAAAAAGAAAAAAAAAAAAATCAAATGGCTATCCTAGAGCAATTCTCAACAATGTTCCTAGATCAGTAACTTCAGACAAAAAGATTTTAGTGGTTTTGAAGACCACATTCAGAGAAATTGTTCAGGAATTACTAAGTAATTACTAAGGCTACTTTCAACCAACTTCTCATACAGTCAAAATCAGTCTGTGTGAATGCAACGTTTAGAAGTGACCACGGTCAAAGTTTTGCAAAAGCTAAACAAACCCCAAACAAATAAACAAAAATCCCCTCAAAAGTTCATATTTGCACAGGTTTATATTTACTACACACAAGAACCAAGAGTACCCAAGCTGTCCTCAAGAAGTACTTGACCCCTCCTGCCCTTTTGCAATCTAGGATTGACTAAGGACAATGCAGTCAGAAATAATCTCTGGGCTTCCTTGACCCATGCTAGCTGCTAGGACTAGTAGGGAAGGGATGACTACTCTTAAGTAGTAGGTCAACCAGAAATGAAGTCCACTTGGAATCCAGGCCCATTTTGCCTTACCCTGACATACCTCCCTACCTTAGTTACACTCATAGCGCAACATTTTTGTTATACCTTCTCTACTTCAAATATTTAGAAACAATCAGATCTTTCTTTACCTGAAGCTCAACAAAAAGCACTTAACTCTGAAAGACCCATTCTCCAATATCTGGGACTCTGTTCACTCAAGCCTCACCAAACAGAAGTATGAAAATGGATGAGGAATAATATAAAGGTTTTTGCTTGTGTAGCTCCACCAGCTTCAACACAATTACGCCAGTAGAAAATGCTTCTCAAAGCTACATTTTTGGGGACCTGAAATACATTTATCCATTGACTGTTGAAATGATTAAATGGATAAATATCTTCATTCCACAGGTAAGGAAGCACAGTTACAGGACTTGCCTACATTTATTAAAAAAGTAGATGCAGCCACAAGGATTACCATTCAGGTTGTGAATCTTGCACCAAATCCAGTGAGCCAATGCACCTCCTCTCTGCATATCTGTCACTTCAGACATCGAGACAAGACTTTCAGCCTGAGCAGTTGAAAACTGGTTTTAATAACACAGACACACTTAAGGACTTTCTGCTTCCTTAGGAAGTTTACCAGAACTCTTCAAAAATAGAAGACAGCTGCTGAAGGCTGGTAAATGTAAGCAGCTCTCAGAAATTACCTCATGCCAAAAGTGAGATTTCTAGGACCTCTGCAAGTTTGTTCAGGCATTTAATTACTGTACTTTTTCATCTGCAGAATTCAGAACTGCACCATAATGATTAAATATAATCAGTTTCAATTACCAAGCTCGCTCAAGGAATATTAAAAACTGAGGCTAAAATAAATAAAATAATGAAAGCTGAACATAAGTTCTCAAAAAATTATATTCAGGTCATGTAAGAAAGAAAAGGAGTGGAATTCCATGTCTAAATCTCAAAGATAATGTACTTCCCAATTCTTTCCAAGGTGAAATGGCCTGAAATGAGCTATTTCTTGGAATTCAAGGACTAGACACTGTTAAGTCACTGGCTGCAAGAACCCAAGAAACACAAATCTCATACTTTTCAACTGTTAGCAATTCTAGCTGTTTAAAATTAAACAAAATCAAGAATTCTGAAGGACACATTTTAACTGTTCCATTAGATCTACAAGTCAGTACAACATAATTGACACACAGCAGTAGGGGACTGTATTAGAGATGTAAGATGAAGAGCCACGAAGCACATCTGATCTTTTCCGGTCAGCAGATAAAAGCCTGAAAATGGACTGTAAAGATGGAATACTTAATTCACATGGTATCACCTGGATGCATCAGGGTGATCTGGACAAAGTCAGCTTTGTTACTACAATTCCAGAGAAATAATTTCCCTTCCAGTCAAATCCATTATTTATCAGCCTCCTCTGCCTTCTCCCCACCCCAATGGGTTTTATTTTTTCACGCGTTACAGGCCAACACACTACAAACTGGACAATGAAAATAAATCAAAACCATTTTGGAAAAACATGTTCCTGACTACCCTCCAAATGAAGAAAGTTTGATAGCAAAGGGTTAAAGTTCTCTTCAATAGCTTTTGAAAACTGAAGGGGGCATTGCTTTGTTTCAGTTCACCAGAGGTCAAGCAATTTGTGACTGGATTTACCACAGACTAAGACACCGTGTTATCTTAAAACTACAAGCTCCTGGAGTAATTCCAGAAGAAAAGTTACCCAAGCCGTTTGAGTAAGAAGGCAAGGTTCGGTGCCTGCCTTCTCTCCTCATCTACTCTCAAGTACTACAACGAATTTTAGTCCATGGCTTAAAACCTTTATTTGCACTGAAGCAGCTTCCAGGAGAAAGAAAGTGCTCCTATTGCTGTCAGCTGGCAAGCAAATCAGTTCATGACAGTTTGAAAGGACTGCAGTGACCCATTCAGCCCACATGGCAAAGCACGCATAGCTCTACACAGACAGACAACAGCCAGCTATCAGCAGTAACCTGCCTTTGTCTAACAGCAGTAGTCCCCTACTTTTTCCCCACCAGAGCAGAGCAGTTCTGGAATCCACAGGTCTTGATCAGGACATAGCCCTAGGTTAAGCAGACAGTGGGGGACTTCCGAACAGAAGAAATTTTCATAAAAAGAATGAGGTTTGCAGGAGCAAGATAGGTTGGGAGCATGGAATTATAGCCTTCGGTTTGCAGGTGTTGTAGGGAGAAAGAAGAGAGATCAGGGAATTGGAGTGTCAATTTGGAAAAAAGCTAAGTACGAGAATGAGGGAGAATGACGCAGCTTGACTTCCTCGCTTGCTGTAAGGCCAGATGCCTGTGCAGAACAGATGCCACGATCAACAGTAGAATGAATTGCATTTTGGACTTTCTTGTGTAAAAAGACAGGAGGGATGGGCCTTTGTCTCAGCCAACATACGGGTTTTTCATCTGTCATTACCTGGAATGATGGATACCAAAATCCCACTAACAAAAGCTGTAGATATGCCAGACTCTACTGCCACAGATATTGAAAGGAATGAATATGCTTTCTTATTGCAGTGTCTTACTCACAACCTACTCTTTCGCCAGCATTACCAAAGAGCAGGACTAAGGGACAGGTCTTGACACTCTGGTGATAGTTTTCCAGTTTAAAACATAACCTTGCAGGAGTCAGAGGTTTGCACCCGACCACTCAGAAGACACAAATTGGTAGCTTTTGGTTTTGTATTTGTTGCTTTAAGCAGCACACAGAGCTATCTACAGTGCCATGGACTTGCAGCACACTCTATGGTCATGCATACGCTTATCAGTTGCCTGATCATGAGAGAATCTGAACACCACGGAGGGGCCATCACAGCCAAAGACAAAGAACCCCTGTAAAAAGTTATTTGGTCTCAGATCACACCCTACCAAACCCTGACAATGACTGCTTTGCTGATTAGACCCTTCGCTTGCTAGACTCATTCCAAGAGCACACATGGTCTTCTCAATTTCAGTACAGGGGCATATATGGGGAAAATTTTTTTTTTTCAGGCATTTGAACTGCATTTCCTTAAGTCTGAATTATGTATTATTCTCTGGAATGAAGGATGCTAAAAACATACTAAAACCTTTGGAGTCTGCCAGAATGATACAGTAATTATCAAAGAAAGGAGATGTTTTCTTACTGCAGTACTACAGTAATAATTCAATAACTCATGGAGAAACAAGCAGTGTTAGTATCACCTGAGCTCTAGTGACATGCTTGCTCATCAACAGCTCTTTTTTTTTCTTTTCTTTCTTTTGACTGGCTATAGAAGCGTGACTATTAAGAAAGAGATTACATTCCAACTGTATTTAATTACATTTCCTGCACTGAATTTTCTTATGAAGTCATATGCAGTACAAAAAATAAAATCAGTATTTCGGCATGACAGGTTTGAGGTTTTTTTGTAACAAACTTCCCTAGCCAAAATATGAAGCAGACAAATGCGGAAAAATATTGTGAAATCTGAGAAATCATCTGCTCGTGACAGACTCCATGTATAGATTGTGTAAGTGTTCTGACTACAGCCTTGTGAAATAAGCTATTGAAAGAAAAACCAATGCCTCAGTCGTACACAAAGACCAAGGCAGTAATGTTTTTCCGTGTTACAAACAGTTGCTGAAACAATTACAAACCCCAAATGAATGTGTGTCAAACTCTGGGATACTTATTTGTGGTTATTGACCTTTTAGTATGATTCTTTATTTAAAACTTCTTAAAAAAGTCATGTCACTAAATGCTTAAAGACACAAAGGGAAACTAGGGAACTAATTAAAAAAATTTTAAAAAAAGTCAGGAGAACTTGGTGCTTTGAAATCTTCAGTGTAACAGATTTTGTGCTACTTTTTATATGAGACAAATAAAAACAGAATAGCCCTACTAGAGAAAAACATGTTAAACAGAAAAGTGTTTAACCAGCTCACCTTAAGAATGATGGAAGAATCGTCTGTCCGTATTGCTCCAGCTCTGCACATTGAAGTAAGGCTGTAACAACACAATAAAACGTACATTCACCTATCACTGGTTTTTATGCACTTCAAGAAGATGTTGCAGAACAACTGCAGTTCTACTAATGATATGTACTCCCCTTTGTTCTACTGTTGATGTAAATATATTTGTGCTTACCAGACTTGGGCACACAAACAAGCTACTACAAGTGTACTTTTGAGCAGATTTCTAGTACAGGACATCTTGCTGGAGCACCAATCAATACATACACCATACACTAGTCAAAAAAAGGTGTAACTGTCAAACTCGACTGATCCACAAACCATTTTTACCAACCAAAAAACCCCAAAATTAACAACTTACAGTAAGATAAAGGAGCAATATACATAGACCTGTCCTTTGCTGCACATAGCACAGGCAAGCACTGAAAACAATCAGGAGAGAATCAATATAGGTAGTCTGACAGCTTGGTCAGAAATCATTCAGGCTTTGTGCTAGCCTAGGAGAAGTGGTAGCATTGTGATGCTTGTCCACAGGCATGTCTTAAAACCCTGCTGGAAGAAGCACATCCTTGCTAATGATGAACCCAATTAAGTCTCTGACACTGAGCCAAACCAGTGTTTGTTCTTTATTAGACAACTTAGTGGATATGACAACTCCAAGGTCTCAAACTACAATGCTGACCCACAACACCAACCAAATGCGTAAGTTGCTTTCTTAATTTACCTGTACACAGGCTCCAAGCTACCAGAAATGAGAAGTAGTTCACCCACCAACAAAAAGTGTTTCACATTTAAGTGGTTTATAGTTTTTACTTGCTTTGCTACAAGGAAGTGGAATGAAGCTGGGGAGGCTAACTACTCTGCATTCAGTGTCAGTATCTTTTGTTCTAGCTTTTGAACTAAGCCATTGTAACTGGCTTTTACCACACTACAGCTAAGGCCAAAAAAATTACTGAACTTTGGTAAAAGTGACTTAAAAACCTAAAATGTTTCAACTCTCAATTGGGCAGGTTAGAAGTGTACATAGGGTCAACTACAATTATTCAGCTAAGGAGCAGTAATATGCTAACGTACTGTAACCATACTGTGTTTCACTGCATTCCTAAGCTCTTTCCAAGTGCCTAAAGAGCGTTCTTTCACCTCTTATAAGGTAACATCACTGATCCTGTTCCAAACAACTACCAGTGAGAGACATAGTTAAAATCCCATAATCAGAAGTCATTTTATATATTATTTCTCGGAAGGTAAAAGGTAAGACTTAACTGTTAGCATAGAGATAATGTTAAAAAATTTTACTGTCCAAGCCTTGCGGCTGACAGCAGGAAACACTCATTTTCACACCTGAATCACCAGGAGGGAAAGCACCTGTCTTGCAGTTGCCATTTAGTCCAGCTAGAACCTATTTGCCAGACAAATTAGCTCTATTTCAAACATGAAATAAATTAAAGTATTTTTACTTCAGGTGAAATAGGCTTGGCTTAGCTAGAAGCAATTTCAATAATTTTAGTAGAAAAGGTTACTGCTCCACTTGTAACTACAAATCACTCTCCCAAGAGGCTTACTGCTCTTCCCTCTGTGCCAACACTGCTACTCAAGTGAAGGATCTTTACTCCATTTCAATCAAGAGGTATTAACATGGGTCTTCCAGGTCTACTTCAATTGTTGAAAAACAAAGGAAACTTAAGATAGCCTTGTATGCCAGTCTGGATTCAAGCAGAAATTTAACAAAAGGCTTCACAAATGCACTAAAAAAGCCTGTTCTACATCCACATTCCAAGGACTCCACTAATAAATCAGAGAGGAACTGCAGACTAATTGCCCAAAGCTGGCAAGGCAGGAGTAAAGTCTAATTTAGAAGCAGAGAAAGAGATGACCTGTGACAATTTCACCTACTACCCTCATTTGAAAAAAAGAAAAGAGAGACAGTCTGACTTGGAGGGAATCAAGTAGGGAACGGATTTATAGAAGGAAAGGCAGCAGGTCTTTGCAAGCCCTCAGGACTTGTGAAACGGAGGCCCTGAGTGCCCTACTAAGAAAGATGACTGCCCAAGACTAATTAGAAACCCAATCTGAAACTCAGGATACTGGTTTCTCTTCCATTTTCCTGTAATGTTCTATTTTGCTTTTCACCACATCATTTTTTTCCATGCTTTCACAGATCCACTTGAGCCAAAGTACTGCAAAGCAACAGCAAAAGATGGGATTGTCTACACCACTCCTTCCAATTTGAAGCAGATCAGTAAGGAACACCAATAAGCCTGGAAGCATTCATCCCAGAACAAGGAGACAGGCCAGAGCAAGAACAATTCTTTTAACTCCAACCTGCCCTCATGACTTAACTGCCTTATATCTCAAGAGCAGTAAAAAAAATAAATTTCTAATACTTAATTCTCTATGTATTCTCTGAATTCTCAAAGAAACACATAAATCAGTCAGAACTGAAACTGCTACAATCCAGTTAATTTAACTTGCCTTCTTCACTAGAAGCCATCTAACAAAACCAGTAAAACCAGACTGCATAGACCAATTGTGGTTGGAAGGGAGTATGGGAGGTCCTCGGATGCATGTCCCACGTGGAGTGGGATTACCTAAAACAATCCCCTACCCCGGCCCCATCTCTAACTGCTTTCATGAAAGGTTAAGTCATCATAACGTTGCAACATCACAGAAGAGGCCATCATACCTATCCCACTTGTTCCTCACCCAGAATCTTGAGACCTTGCACCAAGACAAGTGTCAGTGAAAGTGTCTGGTGAACTGAATCAGGGAATTCACTGATCCAGGTCAAAAATAAGCCATCAAAATCTAAAAAGAATAATCAAACAACGTATCAGTGACCAAACTCTTAAGTTACACATAGTGAAGGGTAACTTTATCTCCTTAACCCCCTGAAGTAATTTATTCCATTATTATCAACACAACAAAAGGAAAAGGGTCTTAAAGGGAGCAAATTCCCAGCTTATGAAGGGAGTATAACCCTAGTGTTGCTCTTATGAAAGCTGGTCACATTCTGTCACAGGGTAGAAAGTCATTACGAATATGAACACATAGAAACATGCCCACGCCAGAAGAGAGTTTGATTTGGACTATAAAAGTAATTAATAACATTAATTCTGCTGTAGAAGCACATGGAGCTTAAAGAATAATCTATTTTAAAACAGTTGGGAAGAGGGACTAGCTCCACTCTCTCATCGTCTTAGAGCATACATTTCTCAACCACAGCCCCAGTCACCTGGGTGAGCCCTCTCAACAGTGGTGCAACAAAGACACCAACTTGTACTACATGATGATATTTTAGTATTATACTCCGTAAGGACATACAATTGACCATAGCCTATTCAAAGTAAAACTTATAATAAAATCCAAGCTACTTGTGAAAACTTGTGAAAACGTTCAGCTTATGAAAATCCATGTGTTTGAACACACTCTCCTGACAAAACTGCTGCCCAGCAACCTTTTTTCCTGTTTATGTACAGGAAGCAGCAAAGGTTACGCTATAAAGATTATTAGGTGAGAACCACTTCTGCAAGGATTTAGACAATGCAAATAATATCTGTAATTATTCTTAAGATTTTAAATCATATATTACTTTGCAACAAGCAAAAAGGGAACAGTTAGAAAGTAAGTATTACATTGCACACTATTTCATTCTAATTTATGATGAAAATTACCATTTGGCTGATGTGAGCTGCATTTCAATAGGCTTGTCCCTTTGCAACATCTTCACAAAAATTTGCGGTAACAATTCTCCATCAACCGACACTGGAAGCAATGAAAGAGAACTCAAAGTAATTCTATTTCAGCCAGTCAAGAAAATCAGTGTCAAATAAGCAACAGCAGCATTATACTTACCATTTACAAGAGTCATTGATACCTGTGGGTTTTCAAAGGCTAGAACTGAGAAGCATTTCAATGCTTGCATTCGAACCTATGTAAAAACATAATATATATGAAGTGTAAATGTAAATGCTAACTTGATCTATACTGCCGTATATGCTTGTAGAAAATAAGTCTGTAAAATCAATAAGAAATGTAGACAATGAGTAAGAGGCAGATGGAAACATCTAACTCTCATCTTGACTCCTGTGATCTCCCTGTTGGAATTATCCTTCTATAGCGTATGTTGTGAACTACTTGTGAAAAAGGATAAAAGCAAGGATAAAACTTGTGAACTAGACAGTCAGAAATACTGGTCCTATTTGTGATGCCTCACAAATGTGCAAACAACAGCAAAAGAATGGAGGTATCGTAACAAGGGTACTTTTTCTTTCCAGCACTCCTAAGTACGTAAGAGAATGAGAAATACATGCTGTTGAGATTTGTATTTCAGAAGACTTTAAAGATTAATTTAATAAAATGTCTAAACAGAACCATCTAGTTGAACTAATTTTAAACTAATCTTAAAACAAACATATAATGTAAGTTTTACTGCCATTACACAGCCTCAGGTATCATCTGTACAAACAAGATTCACAAATCTCTTCATGATGAATCTTCCTCCTCCAGTCCAAAACCATGTCTTGGTTTAATCGAACAATATTTCACAGTTGCCTAGTCACACTAGGCTATGAAATCTTTATAACCTCTTTTTTGACACAGGGAAGACCAACCATTACCATCACCCCAGACGAAGAACCTTATTTAGTTCAGATATGAGTCTTCGACTTCGCCTTCTAGTTGCACGTATTTAAACTGCATCCATGTCTTTCCATGTTTGTTACCACATTCTCAGTGGAAAACAAAGCAAAGGGAATAAGATTTAGACCTAGAGAATCCCATCACTGCAGAAAGCATTTACTGCAAGTTAGGTTTAGGCCCATCCCACTCTCCTTGACAAAAAGTCTTAGAAATGTGGAAGTCCAAGGGCAGACAACAGCAGTGAAGACAATCACACTTCTGTGCATTAATTTTATAACATCTAATCACAGCCATGGTAAGAACTCTTCTCATCAGCAGTAGTGAAGTTTTAGTCAGGAGGAACGGATAGCAGGCTACCTGGCTTCAGAACAAAAGCTCTGTAGGACCTTTCTATTTACTTTTCAGATAATCTAATGAATACAACGTATGCTTCAAAGTAGCAGGAAGCAGAGATTGTGTATCAAAAAAGCACTGAAAACAGTCAAACCCATAGCTCAAGAGCGGTATTCCTGCCAGAAGCAAGTCAGGGGCAGGGGGGTAAAGGTTCTAATGAGAACAATTGGAGTCTAGCTAGAAGTTAACAATTTTATGTAATATTGCTCTATTAAACATATCAAAATTACTACGATGACTACCTCCTTTGCTAGTAATGTGTAATTAAGGACAATTAGTTCAGTAGTTACATGAGAAACAAGACAGACAAGCATTTGGAAAGCTATACAAATATGGCCTTGAAACCATTATCTGTAATGCCGCTGTTAAAGCTGTAGTCCCTTTGTGTTAAGGCACCTCACCAGTGGTGAAGATGCACGCTTGTAATAATAGAGCACATGGGAAAGATACTCACAGAATCAGCTGGCTATGGGACAATCCCAAAACCAAAGGAAAAAGAGTTTATTGAAAAGTAATAGGGAATTCTCCTGGCAGACCTAGCAAATTCTTCTCATGGGGATTGAAATCCCATTTTGAGGGTTTCTGCTGTTGATTGATCTGGTCCTATTGACTAAATCATCTGAGATATCTTGCTGGCCCTTACTGTAGGTATTGAAAAATAGGCAGAGTTTTTAAATGCTGTCTTTACCTGTGAAGTTCTTATTTGGCTGAATTGTAAGAAACTGGATAGAGAAGTATGAGAATGAGATGGCCTGTATTCTACAAAAACTTATCATAGAATGCATTGGGCTGGAAGGGACCCCCAAAGGTCATGTAGTCCAACCCCCCCTGCAGTGAGCAGGGACAGTATCAGTTACATTAGAAGTCTGAGAATGTCTAATTACTGCAGAAAACTAAGAAAGCAGTTAAAACCACAATGAAGCTGTTAATCCCAGGAGTATTAACAGAAGGAAAGTGTATGAAGAGCAGTTCAGTATGTACCTGGAATTTAAAGGCCTGACCAAACTAGCAAAGGAGGAAATAGATAATTACTTTCTACATCTTTCCAGTAAGGTAGGACTAAATATATGTATTTTAACACAATGCTACCATGTATCTTGTTGGTGAAAAAGCAACTTAAAAACTTTACCTTGCTCTGATTTCTTTATTTTAAAGCATCTCTTTGAAAAAATTAGGGAAGATCAAATCCATTGGAAAAGGTTCCAAGCCACACAAAGCTTGGAAAATTCACCTTATGATACAGGGCAAAAAAAGGTCAGCTAATGGAAGAAAGAGCAAAATGTTGCCTGATCATGGTGAAAACTAATTAGCACAGAAAGACAAAACCTAGAAGTTTATCGGTCTCACTAACAAAATATTGAAGACCACATACTTCCTACTGGCTTTATACTAAAACCCCCAAAAAACCAAAACCCAAACCAAACAAAAAGCACCACACATGAGATTAACAAGCCCCTGGAACAGAGCAATGAATTTCCCTTCACTTGAAATTCTCATTTAAGACTGGTTTT